TTTTGTCTATTTGCTGAAATGAACAAGTTGGCGTTGCTGTGACACTGCACACTATAGTTCTATAGTCTTGTCAAATACTGTAATGGTTACTCATTATGTACAGTGATTGAATGAGCTTCCAGGTTGAGGTATGCTAGGAAACAAGAGTGGCATTGACTTCCTAAAACTAGATGCCTCTGGAAACTCTACAAAATGATGGTAGTTATAGAACAGAGTTCTGTACAGAAATGATGTCGGTCATAGAACAGAGTTTAGGTCTTTTGTGAAAAACTTATTCTCAGTCATATTTGACTTGATGACACTTAACCATTGCTAAATGAAACTAGTGCTGTTATATCAGGAGGAAAACTCTTCCACTTTGTACATCACTCTTTGTCAATGTGCAGTATGAAGTAACTTTGGTTGCTGTGATGCTGAACCTTGTGCCACTGAGGTATCAAATACCACAATGGCTTCCCAATGTGGACAGAGTTTGGTGGAGCTCCAGTTGTAAAACAGGTTTGGAAGCAGGCAGGAGTGGCATCCACTTCCTAAACCACATGCCTCTAGAAAATCTATGAACTTGGTGAAATGATGACAGTTATGGAAAGGCATTAGGTCTTTTGTTCAAAGAATTGCTATGAGTTGTGCTCGTCTTGACGGCAATCAACAACAATAACAACAACAACATATAATAAATTAAAAGATTGAAGTTGTCCAGGACTTCTTACTTGGATACACAATCAGCACATAATGGTCACAGCAGTCAAGAAATCAAATGGCATACCGCATTGGAAAAATTTGCTGCCAATGACTCTAAAGTGCTTCTGAAGAGCAGAGATGTCAATTTAAAGACTAAGATGCATCTGCCCAAGTAATGACATTTTCAGTTCCTATGATGTGAAAGATTGGGCAATAAGTAAAGAAAACCAAAGACAAAATGATATTTTGAGTTGTGGTTTTTAGAAAGAATGCAGAATGTACTATGAACTACAAAAAGAACAAATGAATGTATCTTGGAAAAATGAAGCCAGAGTGCTCTTTAGAAGTAGGATAATGAGACATTGTCTACATAATTTAGGTATGTTATCAGGATGGGACAGTCCCTAGAGAAGGATATAATTTTTTGAAAATAGAGTGTCAGTAAAAGAAAGGGAGACTCTCAGTAAGATGGATTGCCACAGTGACTGAAGCAAGGGACTTACACACTACAGATTGTGAAGATGCTGCAAGATAGGGTAGAGTTTTGTTCTGTTGTATATTCAGCACCTAACAATAACAACAAATTTAGGGAAATATTTGTGGTCTACAGACATCGCCACAATTAAAATGTTAAAGTTCTGCATGGTTGGGATGTGGTACCTCTAATCACATTTCGACTACATCTATTTTCATCCTTTTGGATTGTCTGCAATGTACACTTTTCTCAAGATTTGACTCAGTTATCTTCATCATGAACTCTTTCTAGACTAAGAAGTTACTCTTCTTCTTGTATTCAAACATTACAGAGTAAATGTCATTCTTCCCAACATTTCAGTGATTCCCCCCTCTAATTAATCTTGATTTAGTATTAACTAACTCACCCAGGGGATAAATTTTTTTTTTTTATTCATTGTTGCACCCTTCTCCCCGCACAAACCCCTCCCCCCTCACCCCCCCCCCACCCCCAGTTCGCTCTTCTCCTTG